CAAGGACGGCCCAAAGCCTTGGGACCCTGTACTTGTGTGGGAGACCCAGAAGAAGCTCCTGGCTCCTGGCTTCAGACTTCAAATTGGCTCAGCTCTGGCTGTTTTGGCCACTTGGGAAGTGAACCAACAGACAGAAGATCTTTTTCTCTATCGATCTGCCTTTACAATAAAAATAAATAAATCTTAACAAAACAAAACACAACATTCCTCTAATGTTGAGACCTTTTCAACGTTTTAGAGGTGCCATCAAAATTGAAGGACGACGAGCAGGCTTTCAGGTACCTGACATCCTGGCTGTGCTGTTCCGATGGCTGAGAATGGGATGAAGTCATATTTCCTCATGTTTTTCTACAGGTTCATTGGCTATTCAGCAGTCTGCTCTCCAGAGATAAATATGCTCAAATAAAATCCTGTTTTCCCAGGAAAATCTCTTTACTTCTGTTGCTGAATAAGCCTGTTATATGTCTTTCTGCCAGATACAGCAAATATCCAGCTTGCTCAAATAGTTCAACGCACGTCTGGTCAAGACTAATCCCTGTAAAACATTCTAATGGACATGGGAACAAAGGTAACCAATGTGGAGCTTGGATACTGAGGATCTATCTGTGAAGCTGATGCCAGAGGCAAGAAACACACCTTACAAAACCATCACTCTATTCAGTGTCAGACAAGCATCTTGCTTGCCAGGATAGCATGAGGATTATGTGCAAACCTTAGGCAAACACTCTGCAAACCACATGAAATCAGGTTGTGCCCCTTAACTGGATCTCTTACGAGTTCCACGAGAATTCTGCTGCACTCCCGATAATTTCTCCCCAAAACCTCACCCTTCTATTCTTTAACAGCAGGTTCCAATCATGAAAGTCAGGAATACTAAGTTAATATTTCTTTTATAAAAGATATATTTACTTATTTGAAAGGCAGTAAGACAGTGAGACCTTCCATCCATTGGTTCATTCTCCAAATGGTCACAACAGCCATGACCAGGTTAGGCCAAATATAAAAGCCTGAAATTTGGGCCCAGCGGCGTGGCCTAGTGGCTAAAGTCCTCGCCTTGAACGCTCCGGGATCCCATATGGGCGCCGGTTCTAATCCCGGCAGCTCCACTTTCCATCCAGCTCCCTGCCTGTGGCCTGGGAAAGAAGTCAAGGTCGGCCCAAAGCTTTGGGACCCTGCACCCGTGTGGGATGCCCGGAAGAAGTTCCTGGATCTTGACTTCAGATTGGCACAACACCGGCCGTTGCACTCACTTGGGGAGTGAATCATAGGATGGAAGATCTTCCTCTCTGTCTCTTCTCTCTATATATCCGACTTTGCAATAAAAATAAATCTTAAAAAAAACAGACAAACAAATACAAAAGCCTGGAATTCCATTCAGGTTTCCCTCTTGGGTGGCAGAGGCCCAAACACTTGGGTCATCTTCCATGGCTTTCCCAGGCACATTAGCAGGGAAATGGATAGAACTGGAGCAGCCAAGACTAAAACTTCAGGATGCCAGCTTCACTGGCAGTAGCTTATTAATCTGATGTACCACAACCCCATCCCTTACTAAGGCAGAGTAAGAGGGAGACTGGCCTTCCATTATTCCCAAAATGGCTGTAACAACTAAGTCTGGACCAGGCCAAAGCCAGGAACCTGGAACTTTACCCAACACTCCCACTTGGGTAGCATGGGCTCAGACACATGGGCCATCTTCTGCTGCTTTCCCTGGTGCATTAACAGGAAGCTAGATTGGAAGCAGAGCAGCCAGGACTTGAACTGGTACTCATATGGGATATCAGTGTCACAGGCAGCAGGTTAACTTGCTTTGCCACAATGCTGTCCTAAATTACCCTCAAACTACCATTAAATTGGCCTAAGCAGTTTCAACTAGATTCACACTGAGTACCTGGGTCATATATACACAAAGAACTATGACTAGAGATGACACCCAGAACCAAATATGTACCTCCACACATAGACACACAAATAAAAAACCGGGGAGTAGAGAGGGCCAGAGTCAAAAGTCAGGGTTCTGCCTACATTGATCTCATATAGGGCAACGCCACAGGCCTCAGCAATCAGAAGTTGCCCTATCCATATATTCCAATCCCAAATCTTAATATTTTTCTAACATCCTGATCAGAGAAGATAGGGGTGTGACCACTGTCTCCAGGTCAGCCTGCCAGCAATGCCCTCAGAACCTTTCTCTGCTTGAAGACGAGGCTAGTCACTCAGTGGAGCTCCCATCTTTAGTCACACAAAACACTTCATGGAACAGAGCTATGTCAGCTGCTCCTGAGACCACAGGACCACGTTGAGAATGAGCCAAGATGGAACGACAAGAGACCAGAGCAGAAAGGAAAGGAGCCCTGGAAGGGTGCAGGAAAGGAACAGATTCACCTAAATAGATTAGAGGAAAAACAAAGACTCATCTCTCAACTAGCAACCATTTCTAATCTGGACATCTGGGACTTACAAGTCAGAGAAGGGGAAGGTGGAAGGATGGTCTGAACAAAGGAAATACTGCTGTGCAAGCTTCCCAATCTAAGCCTTAAGGTAGACTGGCAGCTTCTCTTCTCATTTCTTGGAATATGCAATCTTAAAAATCTAGCTATGAATAGGAATTGTGGCACAAAGGGTTAAATCAAAGTCAGGTACCTCCACTTCCCATATCAAAGTGCCTGGGTCTGGGACCTGCCTCAGTTTCCCATCAAGCTAATGCATATGGTGGGGTCAGAACCACAGGTAATGACTCAAGTACCCAAGTCCCTACCACCCATGAGAGAAACCAGGATGGAGTTCCTGACTCCTGGCTTCGGCCTGGCACAGCCCAAATGTTCCAACCACTGAAGAAGTGAACTAATTCCTTGCTCTCTGCCACTCAGCATTTCAAATAGACAAATAAATAAACATTAAACAAATGACCATTATATTGTGAGAAACCCCAAGCACAGTTCATGAAGAGATCTAAGAGGAGGGGAACAACGGCCAACAGCCCCAGCTCAGTCCTCAGCAGCAAGCAGAGGTGGATTCTTCAACCCCTGATGAGCTGCTCCATGAAGACATCAGATGGACCCCAAACAAGCCTTGAATTCCTGAATTCTTAGCCACCAATATTTATGCTAAAAAAGTTGTATATTTTGGTGAGTGAAATATATTTACAGGTAGTCAGAACACTACATGCAAGCAGAAGTCTAAAATGCTGAGCTGACAGAAAAGTACTAAAATGAATTATAGCTCTTAAGAGTATTTTTAACTCGGGCCCAGCGCAGTGGCACAAGTGGTTAAGGTCCTTGCCTTGCACGCCCGGGATCCCATATGGGCGCCGGTTCTATCCCGGCAGCCCCACTTCCCATCCAGCTCCCTGCCTGTGGCCCGGGAAAGCAGTCGAGGATGGTGCAAAGCTTTGGGACCCTGCACCTGTGTGGGAGACCTGAAAGAGTCTCCTGGCTTCGGATTGGCATAGCATCGGCCGTTGCGCTCACTTGGGGAGTGAATCATTGGATGGAAGATCTTCCTCTCTGTCTCTCCTCTCTGTATATCCGCCTTTCCAATAAAAAAAATAATAAAAATAAATCTTTAAAAAAAAAAGAGTATTTTTAACTGAATTTCAAGGCACACCTCTATGCTGTTGGGTAGTAGTCAGCAAACTACGGCGATGAACTAAATCTGGTCCACCACCTGTTTTTTGTTTATTTTTGTAAAGGAGTTTACTTGAAGCAGCAAGCAATCTTGGGGGAAAAGACCACCTGTTTTGGGGGCCGTTATCATGGCATGATAGGCTAAGCCTCCACCTGTGGCGCTGACATTCCATATTGCTGCCAGTTCACATTCTGTTGCGCCACTTCCAATCAAGCCCTCTGCTTATCGGTGGGAAAAGCAGCAGAGGATGGTTCAAGTTCTTGGACTTCTGTACCCATGTGGGACACCTGGAAGAAGCTCCTGGCTTCAGATCAGCTTAGCTCCAGCTGTTGCAGCCATTTGGAACCAGCAGATGGAAGATCTTCCTTCTCTCTGTAAATCTGCCTTTGAAATAAAAATAAATACTCTTTAAAAAAAAGTCACCTGTTTCTGTATAACCCATGGTTTCTTTATTTTAAAATGAAAAAAAGAAAAATAATGGCTGTCATGTGAAAAAATTAACAACAGTCTCAGCTGTAATTTTTTAACCATTAACTCATTAACCATTAACCTAAGGTTTTCCATTTTAGACATCTACATGAGCTTTGGAAGGCAAATCTTACTCAATATTCAGGTCACAACACCTGCCTGCACACTAAGGTGCTAGAAGAAATTCCAATGCTCAACACACAGTCAGACGCTGCATCTTCACACAAAGGCCTCTTGTTTCACCTGGCTCCCACCCTGAGTGAGCTAAGACACTCTTGCAAACAAGGGTTTGAGATGCCCCCTTTCCCAAAAGGAAATGGAGTAAACCTGCCATCTTGACTAAGTGATAAAACACATTAATAAATAAAAACTGCCAAATCAGAGCAGAATATCACATCTTTTTTTTTTTTTTCTCTTCTGAGAGACAGAGAGAGAAAGATAGTGACAGAGCTTTCACCTGCTAGTCATCCTACACACCTGCCACGGCCAGGGCATTTGACACAGGTACGAGTGGGGTACTCAATCTAGTCTCCCATGGTTGTGGCAGGAACACAACTACCTGAACTATCACTGCTGGTCCCCAGGAAGCTGAGAAAACCAAACTCGGGTATTCCCATGTGAATGCAGCATTTAACCACTCTATTCCTTATAGTATGTTCAAGAAAATTTTTTTTGTATGAAGACAGCCTCAAGATGATACAAAGAATACAGCCTAGGACCCTTTTATAAGATACACAGGAATCCCCGTGAGGATCAGTGACTGTGACTTTCCTGAGCCACCCTGAGCTGGAACTGGAAGAACTGAGCTTGGAACCCCTGGGGCAGTGTTTCAAACTGGGAAGGAAAAGGCACCAAATCTAAAACAGAAGACAAGAAAACTTGAACTCCTCTTCATTTATCCATCTCACCTTGATGACGTCTCCACTGGAGCCAATTAGATCTGTTGGAATGGCCACTCGAAACGAGCGCCCGACCACAGCTGTGCCATCAGGAATGCCAACCACTGTGGGGACCGCCTCGTGCAGGTCTGACAGCACGGAGTGCATGGACGCCTCAAGCTGGTTCTCCCAGTCCCTGACAGGCTCTGAGGGGTCACTGGGCCAGCGGGACTGAGCCACAGCTGCAGACAGGAGGAAGAGGAGGAAGGTCCTCCCCCAGAGGGGGAACAGCAGCGGGAGGCCCACAGGCATCCTCATCCTGGGCCAAGTTTGCTCAAGCTGACGATCTTGCTAAGGCAGGCAGCAAATGAATGGATCCCAGAGCGTGGGTCCTCACCCTCGGCACACCTGCTCCATCCCACAGCATCCAGAGCCTAAAAAAGAAGAGAAGCATATTCAGAGTTCAGCAATTCGCAGGAGTTCAAAGTCATGCATTTGCTACCAAATGTTCTGCCAAAGACATTGTCCCTGAGTCAGACTTAGTCTCTAGGCCTTGCAGAAAAGCCAGCGCTGCTCAGTGCTGGGTACACAGCTGGTCCACTCAGTGATTCTGAAAATTTTGTTTGAAAAAGAAAAGTGCCTCATTAAAATTTTTACAATATTGACCAAAAACTGAAATAATGCTTTGGGAATAGCAAAAATATATCAAATAAAATTTTATTGTAGATAATTAGAAATCTATTAAAATGACACTTGCTTTTGTTAACAAAGTTAAAATGAAGAAAATCTAGATGAAACATGGCTGACATCACATTTCTATTGGGCAGTTCTATCCTAGGTCTAAATTCTAATTTACAAGCAAATATGGGCAACAGTAAAAGACTATCAGTCAACTCTAGAATGTGGGACCATCTAGGGCCAGGCACGGTGGCCTAGCAACTAAAGTCCTCGCCTTGAATGCCCGGGGATCCCATATGGCCGCTGGTTCTAATCTTGGCAGCCCCGCTTCCCATCCAGCTCCCTGCTTGTGGCCTCAGAAAGCAGTCGAGGATGGCCCAAAGCCTTGGGACCCAGCACCCGCATGGGAGACCTGGAGGACGTTCCTGGCTCCTGGCTTCAGATCGGCGTAGCACCCGCCATTGTGGTCACTTAGGAAGTAAATCATTGGTCGGAAAAATCTTCCTGTCTCTCCTCCTCTCTGTATATCTGACTTTGCAATACAAATAAACCTTAAAAAAAAAAAAAAAGAATGCGGGAACCTCTAACAAGATAATTGGCCTGGTCTCATCAAGTATTTACACATCTAAACACAAGGTGCCAACTGCAGATGTGGAAAGCAACCAGATGTAATGTGTGCACCTTGATCATACACAGCTCCCCAGGGTGCAACTGGGGAATTCTGCAAGTGAGCTGGAGCAGAGTCAATCACTCTTTTAAGTGATACAATGGTGGCAGGTCTCCAGAGGGGACTGTCCTTAACTTCACGTGTGCCAATGTGAAGTATTCAAGGATGAAGTGCCAAACACTGTGCAATTCACTTTGAAACAATCTATGGGGAAAAGAAAATGTGTGCATGTGTTTTCTTTTTTTTTTTTTTTTAAGATTTATTTTTTAATTTTTATTGGAAAGGCGGATATACAGAGAGGAGGAGAGACAGAGAGGAGGATCTTCTGTCTGATGGCTCACTCCCAAGCGGCCACAACAGCCGGAGCTGTGCCAATCTGAAGCCAGGAGCATCCTCCAGGTTTCCACGTGGGTGCAGGGTCCCAAAGCTTTGGGTTGTCCTTGACTGCATTCCCAGGCCAGCAGCAGGGAGCTGGAAGGAAAGCAAGGTCGCCTGGATTAGAACCTGAGCCCAGATGGGATCCCGGAGCACTCAAGGCGAGGACTTTAGCCACTAGGCTACCACGCTGGGCCCGTGTGCATGTGTTTACAGAAAAAGCCTTGTGGCAAATTAAACTAACACAGTTTAAAATGTCTTTGAAAAAACTAAAAAGCATAATCTGCACAGAGAAATTCAGTAACTACCCACTGGCTTCAGGCGTATAAGACAGCTGTTCTAAAGCTAGCAGCCACCACACACAAACCTTGTGGGACTTAACAGGTACCTGCCAGTGACCAAAGCCATCATGACTACTTTTCCATTTTGACTTAGGTAACCTAAGTTAGATAAACACAACTAAAGAAAAAAAAGCTACTGAAGCAGATGGCATATTCAAAGTCAATGCAAATCCAAGCCAATTGCAACAGGGTTTTATTTGCTGTCAATACTGCTTATCTTGCTTTTATTTTAAAGATTTACTTATTTTCATTTGATAATCAGGTTATAGAGAGAAGAGGAAAGACAAAGATCTTCTATCCACAGGTTCACTCCCTCAAATGGCAGTAAGAGTTGGAGCTGAGCTGATTCAAAGCCAGGAGAGGAACATTTTCCAGGTGTCCCATCTGGGCACAGAGGCACCAGTACTTCCACTGCTTTCCCAGACCATATGCAGAGCTGGATCAGAAGTGGAGCAGTTGGGACACAAATCGTTGTCCATATGTGATGCCAGGGCTACAGGCAGAGGCTTAAATTACTACACAATGGCACCAGCCCCTTTCTTTTTTAACTAAACTTCAGGGGACAGAACTAAACATCAAGTAAGTACAACAAGATAGTAGTCTTGTTCTACAAAAATTTATCACGGCTCCTGTGTCCGTTAGTGTCACATGGGGTGGAGCAGACAGAGACTCCAGAGCTCAAAACCAGCTTGGAGAAGTGCCAGGAAATGTGGCCATCTAGGCAAAACACTAATGCAGCCAGGTTCCTTTCTCACTTCACTGTCACAAACAAGATAAATCCCAGAGGATTAGATCCACAATTGTGAAAAGGATCATTTTAATATGTTCAGAAGAAAATGGAGCAGAATCTCAGGATACAGAAGTTCTTCTGGAACACTGAAAAAAAAAAAAACTTGGCCTTTTGGACAGAGTTGATCAATTTTGCTTCTATTTTTCCCATTAAATACAATTTAAAATCCTAGACATTATTATCCCAGACGCCAAGCCCTTGCATTTCCAATGCAGCTTTCCGTTGATATGGGCATCTGGGAGACAGCAGAGGACAGCTCAAGAACTTGGGTCTCTGTTTCCCACAAGGAAAACCTGGGCTGAGATCCTGGCTCCCACTTGAATTTGGAGAATGAGTCTGTGAAATGTGTTTCCTCTCCCTGTCTGTCTCCCTCTGCTGTTCAAATAAAACAAAAATTTTAAATGTTTATAAATAGAGTCTAAATTTTTTTTTAAATCCTTAAAAAGTAAAAAGAAGGCAATAGACCAAGTAAGGATTTCAGAAAACAAGGAACACAGGGATGTTTCCTGGGTTTTCTTTTTGCTTCTTATATCCCAGGACTGGACCTGAGGAAGCTGGCAACCCAGAAATGCCAAAAAGTTCAAAGATGCTCTAGCAAAAGTTTGCTTCCTAAACCCAAAGGAACAAAAAGGGCAGTCTAGCAAAACAGAAAATGTATGGCAAGAACAGCTTTACTGTGATAAACACTACTGAAGAGAACTAAGGCTCCACCCCAGCCAAATCTGCAAATGCCATTTGGGGAGCCACACTTCTACCCTCATATGGCTGTAACAAAGTATCCAAAACATCCCTACTGGGTGGGGCAGCTTCAGAAAAGGCCAAGCAGGGAGCTAGACTCCCACGGCCACTGGTCAATCAAGTACTCTCCACCCTGCAGGAGCCACAGAAATCACAGGGAGAGCCGAGATGGCCACGCCCACACAGAAGCAGCACCTCCCTGCTGGGAGCAGGACCAGTGGTTAACCAACCCACTCTCCACCACTGCCCAAAGATCAAGTACCTCCCCCACTGCACTCAGCTCTCCACAAGCTAGGCTTTTACTTTCACTTGGCAGGAACAAGGGGCCCTTCCACAGCAATGGGAGGAAAAGCCAGCTCAAATAGAACGAAGAACTTCAGAAAGAAATACAAAAAGAAAAAAAAAAAAAAGGTCCAGATTTCATTTTTTAAAAAATATCATTCAACAAATCAAGTAGGAAGATCTCCATATTTAATGGAAAAAAAGATAATCAACAGATAACACCAAGATGATAGAATCAGCAGAATTATCTAACAAAGATCAGCTGAAACTAAAAGGATGGAACAGATGTATCATGGAAATAGTACTTAGAGGAAAGAGTGTCTATAGCACTATCAGACAAAGGAGGCTTCAGAGCAAGGAAAATGACCAGAAATAGAGAAGGACATGAAATAATGGAAAAAAGATTAATGAAGGATTATACCACTATAGTAACATACTACTATAGTAAAATGGGGAAAATCTGTCGGGGGGTGGGAGTTTGGGGGAAAATCCCAGTCTATATGAAATTGTAACACATAATTCAAAAATTCAAAATAAAAAAATTAAAAATTAAAATTAAATTTAAAAATTAAGTCCACCACCAAAAAGATAACATTTAAAATACAAAAAATTAAAAAATAAAATAAAATAATTTTAAAAATTATAAAAATAATAAAAAATTTAAAAATTAAGTCTACCACCAAAAAGACAACCATTTAAAATACATATGCAATAAGCAATTCAGCTGCAAAATATGTGAAGCAAAAACTGATGGAGCCAAAATGAGAAATCATCAAATCCCCAGTAACAACAGGACTCCATAAAGCAAACCGGGGAGGGGGGGTTGAGGAGTGGGAGATGGGCGGCTGGCAGCACCTCATGTCGCTGGTTCGAGTCTTGGCCACTCCACTTCTGACCCAATGCACCTGGGAAAGCAGCAGACGATGATCCAAGTGCTTGGACCCAAACACCCCAGTGGCATACTCAAAGTTTCCGACTCTTCACAGCAGATGGGTCCAGCTCCGGACACTGTAGCCATTTGAGGAGTAAACCAGCAGATGAGAGACATCCATCTTTCCTACTCTCTGCAACTCAAGTTTTCAAATCAATAAAACACATCATTTTTTAAAAGTACATGATGGGTGGGCCCTTGCAGTACTCTTAATGGCTTAAAGTCCTCGCCTTGAATGCGCAGGGATCCCATATGGGCACCAGTTTATATCCTGGCTGCTCTACTTCTCATCCAGCTCCCTGCTTGTGGGAAGGCAGTAGACGACAACCAAAGGCCTTGGGATCCTCCACCCACGTGGGAGACCCAGAAGGGGTTCCTGGCTCCTGGCTTTGGATTGGCTCAGCTCTGGTTGTCGAGGTCACTAGGGGAGTGTATCAGCAGATGAAAGATAGCTTTCCCTCTGTATATCTGCCTTTCCAAAAAAAAAAAAAAAAAAAAAAAAAAATGTGGGTGTCTCTCTTCCTGCCCTTTCGAGAGGCACCCCATCTCCCGGATTTTTCTCCAGAGGAGCTTTCTCCTTCCCTGCTCACCTGGTTCCTTCGCAAGCAAACTTTTCTGTCTGATTTAAAAAA